CTCAAGGCTAGCGCTCTACCACTTGAGCCACAGTGCCACTTCCGGCTTTTTTCTTTTTGCTTATGTGGTGCTGAGGAATCGAACCCAGGGCCTCATGCGTGCAAGGCAAGCGCTCTACCACTGAGCCACCTTCCCAGCCTTCATGGAGGGTTCTTGAGAAAAAGAAAATTTAGGGATGTCCTAGAGGATAGGCCATAGAGCCTAAGGTGGGGCAGCTTTGGCAGATTAAAATATGACCCAGAGAAAAAGCGGTAGGGCCCACATGAGCAGTGGTATGGGTTGTGCACTGCTCGAAAGAGTTGTACAGTGTGGAACCTACCAGTCTGCTGATGGCCATCCTTCCAGTGGGCTTGAGGCCACCCATGCTCTGTGCTCCTTGGCCTCCAGGTCTCCCTGCAGTATGAGAAAGAAGGAGCCTTCCATCACACCTGCGGTGGCACCCTGATCGCCCCCGACTGGGTCCTGACTGCAGGACACTGTATCTCGTAAGTCATCCCATCTGCCCCCTCCCTGCGTGAGACCAAAGCATGGCTATGGCAAGAAGGGAGGTTGGCCCCAGGCCCAGACCGACTTTGCTTCTTGACAGGTCCTTGCTGACCTATCGGGTGGTGCTGGGTGAGTATGACCGGGCTGTGGAGGAAGGGCCTGAGCAGGTGATCCCCGTCAACCCTGAAGGTCTCTTTGTGCACCCCGAGTGGAATGATAAATGTGTGGCCTGCGGGTGAGTAAACTCTCAGGCTTGGGGCCTGGGCTCCCCAACACTTCCTCCATGACATGGGCTCAAGTGACACCCACCCAAGGGTAGAAGCAGAGCCATTAAGGATCATTGCCAGTCAGGTATCAGTGGCTCATGCCTGTAATCCTAACTACTCAGGAGGCTGAGATCTAAGGATACGGGTTTGAAGCTAGCCCTAGCAGAAAAATCCATGAGATTCTTAGTTCCAATGATCCACTAAAAAGCCAAAAGTGGAGCTGTGGTTCAAGTGGTAGAGTACGGGGCTGGAGGCCTAGGTTCTGATTGACTCCTTTCCTCCCCACCCTCCCTCCCAGCAATGATATCGCCCTGGTCAAGCTCTCTCGAAGTGCCCAGCTGGGAGAAGAAGTCCAGCTTGCCCGCCTCCCCCCTGCTGGTGACATCTTACCTAATGGAGAACCCTGCTACATTAGCGGCTGGGGCGTCTCTCCAGTAAGTGTTGCCCCTGCTAGCTGACCACAGGGACAGTGGCAGAAGGGCAGGCCCTGTGTGGGGGGGTGTAGAGGGTCTCCCCAAGTCCAGTTATCACACTGTGCCTTCACTCCCCTCCAGACCTAGCCTTCTCCCCCATCCTCCCAATCATGGATAGTTGAATGGGACATCTGGGTGGGTCCCGCCTGTCATCCTAGCTACTCAGGAGGCTGAGATCTGAGGATCACGGTTCAAAGCCAGCCTGGGCAGGAAAGCCTGTGAGACTCTTATCTCCAGTAAACCACTAGAAAACTGGAAGTGGCGCTATGGTTCAAGCGGTAGAGTGCTCACCTTGAGCTGAAGAACACAGGGACAGCACCCAAGCCCAGAGTTCAAGCCCCACGACTGACAAAAAAAAAAATCTGTAAGATTTTTTTTTTTTTTTGGTCCGGTCATGGGGCCTGAAATCTGGGCCTGGGCGCTGTCCC